TTGTTTTATTTTTCAATTATGAAATATGAAAATTTGTTAACAATAAATTAACTTATAAGTATGTATGAAAAACATATTAGTGCATTGAAGTTTAGTTTGAATTTATTGAATGGTCTGAAGCTCGCGCGCTTCGCAACGTCGCCAAATGTTCTGACGCCATTTAAATGCAGATTACTTTAAAAAAATCTGTTATTTTATAATTTTAATTTCTCTATAAATTCCCTATAGATTTTATTGCAAAAAATCAAAACTGAATATTTCGAAAACCTTATTTTGCGTTTTTTTACCCCATCTTAAATCAATGGTTAATGCCATAATTCGAGAAAGTTGTTTTAGGTCTGACTTTCTCGTTTATAAAGACTCAAAATATTAACATTTTTAATTTTTTTTTTAATTTGCATGGTGAAGAATAAATTAAACTTCATTAAGTAGATAAATTAGGACTTTAACTATTAGATAAAAATTAATTTTAATATGCATAATCTAATATTTTTTATTTAACATTGATGGCGAAAGGACCTCCTTCATAGCATTAAAAAAAACTGAAACAGTGAAATTCTTGATAAAATATGCTAAAATCATAATACTACAAAATATTAGCGCGGTCATTTCAACTGTTTTCACATAATTCAATATTTCTTAATTTTGTGTTAATCTATCTTTATAATTTATTAGATTTATTTCTTAATATTATGATGCTTTGATTTCAGACTAACACTAAGATTTCTAACAGTTCTTCGAATCAGGCTGGGACAAGCACTGAGAGTGTTCCAAACGTGGAATGTGGAGGTCGTCTTTCTTTCTATAGGTGACGTTTTCTTCATTTTGTCCTATTCTAAATAAAAGTTTTCTGCATTTCACAGGCGCTTCGAAACGGAAAAATCTGCCTCTTGTGATCAGAGATGATGAGGATGAAGCTATGACGAACACTACACCATCCAACGTACGTCCCACTCCAGCACAAGATACTATGAAGAAAAAGATTACTAAGCTGCATATGGAGCTTGACTTAACGGAAAGGCGCAAAAGGTCTCTTGTAGCTGACGGCACTGAATTTGATAAAGCATGTAATTTGCGGCGAGAAATTGACATTTGTGAGAAGAAGCTCAAGCTTAAAGAAAAACAAAGAGTGTACTCTATGACGCACAGAACAAATAGAAAACAAGCAATAATTGAACTATGTTCAAAGAATCCCGATGCAGCTAAGTCGTTGACGCCCCGTGCTGGCCCTGGACGCCCACGTTTAGAAAAAGAACAGTCTGATTTGCTAAAAACAATAAGTGATTTAGCCCTGTTTGGTGCTTCTGCTGAAGAGCGTCGTCGTTGTGAGATAGTTCGCACGGTCCATACGCTATCAGAACTTACAAATAAACTAAGCGAGCTGGGATTTAATATTTCACGAAGTGCTACTTATATTCGACTGTTGCCTAGACGGGCAAATACACGAGAAGCTAAGCGCCATGTAGTGACTGTGCCGGTGAAGCTGAGTCGTCCTGAAGCTGACCATCATAAGGCACACCAAGACCAATACTTTTCTGTGGCCTCCATAAGGTCGCTGGAAACGATAGCCTCGGTACTTGGTCCTGACTCCGTAATTTTTTTATCTCAGGATGACAAAGCCCGCGTCCCCATCGGCCTGACAGCGGCAAACAAGCAGGCGCCATTATTAATGCACGTTGCATATAAAGTGTCGTTACCAGACCACGACTTTGTGATTGCTTCGAGGCACAAATTAATTCCAAGCGTGTATGCTTTGTGTGAAGTGAGACCCAATGAGATGGGACGACCAGAAGCTGTTTCATATAGTGGACCAACTTACATAGCAATACGAAGTGGCAAGCACTCTTCGTCAACTGCAACTAGTCACGCTCAAGATTTGGACACTCTTTTTAACAATTGAGCCTTTTTCCAAATTTACAAAAAATATAGACAGAAAAGTTAAACCTGTTCTTATAATTTCAAGCGACGGTGGGCCTGACGAAAATCCGCGATATCACAAAGTGATCGCACACGCCATAGCGCATTTTAAACTATATGATTTGGACGCAGTATTTATTGTGACTAATGCCCTGGCCGGAGCGCATTCAACAGAGTAGAGAGACGCATGGCTCCACTCAGTCGAGAACTAACAGGCGTTGTTCTTCCCCATGATTCTTTTGGGACACATCTTGACTCCAGCGGCAGAACATTAAACGAAAGTCTGGAAAAGGATAATTTCAAAAAGGCAGGGGATATTTTGGCTGAAATATGGTCTGCAGTGTGCATTGACGGACACGAAGTAGTCGCTGAATATATAGAGCCGAATAATGAAACTTCTAGCGTTCCAGACCTGCCAGCCGAAGAATGGTACACTGAGCACGTTAGAGAAAGCCAATATTTACTCCAGGTACATTAGCAGTTGGTTCATATCAAATTTCTATACGTGCCTAATTTTTTTTTTTAAACGAGCACGAATATCAACAAATTTTTATTAAGAGTTATTAATTTTTTTTTTAGGTTGTAAAATGCGATGACCAGAAGTGCTGCAGCCCACGCCGGAGTGATCTGCATATGATTCTTCACGACCGTTTTCTGCCGCCTCCATACCCTATCACTCAAGTTGATGGACATTTGACAATTCCGGACTTTAAAGAGCATGACGGAAAGTCATTTGTTCCATTTTTAATACGCCACTGCCTACCGATTCAACCGCTGAATGCCTTCATCAGCACGCCTTATGATCTCTATTGCCCAAGTGTTCGTGATGATTTAGAGAAAAGATGCTGCAGTACATGCGGTATTTACTTTGCATCTAGCAAAAGAGCTACAGAGCACAGGCGATCAGCCCACATTGCACCAGCTAAGCAAGCGCGTATGTTCCGCAAGGTCCGACCCTCACGGATTGTCACAAGACGAGCTAATGAGTTACTGTGTGCAAGTGCCAATGGTTTAGAGTGGCTAGATCAGAACGAAGTTGAAGGAGCAGATGATTTTACTGAAAATCATATGGACATGTTGGTTCCAATAGTCTCTCTTGAGACCGCGCATGATTATCCATGGACTGAATTAGAGTAGATATTCTTTTTTTAATCACAGTAGTTACGATTTAAGTATTCTATTGTTAAATTTTTATTACACTTATAATTAAACTCTCAGCAATATTGATTACTAGTCTTAAATAAAAGCACGAAGCAAACTTTTTTTTTCTTTTTACAATAACAATCCAACGCGTTTACGTAAGAAACCCACATTTTGAAAAACTCACGTGAGATTGGGGGATGGGGGAGGGGGTTGAACAAAATCTCACGACATCTCACCAGGGGGGAGGGAGGGTCAGAAAATTATAAAAAACACCTCACGTAATTTATGGACGCCCCCTAAGAAAGTGTCCAAAACTTACAGCCTATATTAAGGGGAAGACACTCTGTTCTTGTGTACTATTTTTTTCCCACTTACCACTGTTTAGCACTAAAGACTAAAACTAATTTGACTTTGATATCAATGTGTGACGTTAATTTAATGTTTTGTTAATAATGTTTAAATGAATGAGTTTAAACTGTCAGACTTTGTTTTTCTTGAACGTACACCCCAATAAAACCACTGATTTAAATTTATCTGAACGAACACTGATCAAACAGCGATTGATGTGAAATCTGTGCCTTTTAAAATATGTATGTATTTTTATTATGTGCCTTAACATAATATTATAAATTTTAAACAACCCTCGGCAATCTTCGAGCTCCATCATCAGGATAGCTCAGTAATACATGGATAATCCAAACGTTAGATCAGATATATGTTTGCGTAAACCACATCGATCCATTAGGAAACAGATACACGAAACGTTAAACTTTAAAAAAGCATTACAACTTACGAAAATTTATAGTATAAAATTGCCTGTACTCGTAGGTTCGATACCCGTCTGTGTACCAATAAATATGTGCCCATTTAACATTCGCTCGAACGGTGAAGGAAAACATCGTGAGGAAACCGACTTGCCTTAGAGGCAAAAAATCGACAGCGTGTATTAGGCATAGAAGGCTGATCACCTTGCCTATTAGAAAATACACAAACAGATACAGAATACTGGCTCCTAGACCTATAAGAATGTGAACCAGAGAATTAATACATATTATTAATTTCAGTTTCCTTCATGTGGTCGCGGCGGGGAAATCGCCTTCTATGTGTCAATGGGTATAAGTTTTGCGTACGCCAGCGTTGTATGAACACTCTCAAAACCAGATGGAAATGTTCCACACATAATGGAAAATCTTGCCCAGCCAATGTCCACACTTTTATGGATCAAATAATTAAATTACATAATGTACATAATCATTAGTTAAAACTTAAGGTATTTTGATTTATTTTTAATTACGATTTGCCTAATATAAACTAGATTTATGTTATTGCAATTAAGGTTTTTATTGATTAGTGAATGTTACAGTTAATACTTCTCTCATTCCTTACTTATGTTATTCAAAGGAATTATAATAAATTGTTTACGGATTGAATTGTGTTTAATTAAAATATCTTCCTTTCTTCAAAACAACAAGTATATCGATACCTCCTAAGTATACTGAGTCATCTAACAAATTTAGGTATTTTGTTTTTTTTATATAAATGTACATAAAAAACCATGATCTTAATGTTAGAGTTATTTTTTTTTTAAAAGACCTATAATTACCGAGATAATTTCACGAATACCAAATCAATTTCAACATCAGTTAAAATCGCACATTGTATACTGATCCAAATAACATTGTATCAGTGTTCGCGGGGCGTGAGGAGGGACGCATTGATACAAGTTTATTGTGGCTCAGTATACGATGAATGACGGCGAGGGCGCATGCAATTTTAGTAAATAGTTTTGTTTCGTAAAAATAGTGAATAAAGTAAATGTGGACGTATGTGTCATATATTGTTTTATGTTTTTATTAATATGAGTAATAGAATGCAGTCAAACAGGGCGAGAAAATTTTTTAAATTTACTTAATAATAATGTAAATAATACCAATGATACAATGAACAATGTCACAGGAATCGGTGATATAATTGAAAACAGGGATGAAGATGGTAAGTTATATTGATATACTTTATTTATGTTACATATAGTGTGATTTTGCTATTTTTGTTTAATTATTCTAGTCTTTTGCTAGTTTTTCACGTCGCTTACGCCGTATACTGATACAACTACATTTACACCTGTATACGGCGGACAAACTTTATAAATAAGACACTTGACTTATCTGGCTATAATAATGTAATAATACAATTTTTGATAGTTTTGTTTTAATTGTGGTATAATATATTTTTTTTAACTTTTTAACTTAATATTGGCATGTAAAATATAAAAATATGAATTCTTATGTTTTTAATTTAAATTATTGTTTCTTTTAGAGTCTCCATTGCCACCTGATGCAAATTTTACGGAAGAAGAGCTATCAATACTTGATGATATTGATTTGAATGATAGCAAGGATGTATTGCAGAATGTCCCTTCTAATGCTTCCATATTATTCCCAGATGATATTCCTTGCTCCTCGCCTTGGGTATCGAATGTTGATAACAGAATTCAAAAAGGAGACCGATCGCCATCAGTCATAGAAAACACTCCAGATCATTCGCCCTTCCAGAATAGAATTATAGAAAATTATTGTGATATTACTCCAGTACCATCGCCATATAATTCTTTTGCTCCATCACCTGTTAATTTCCAGTTAATTGATAGTCCTGCGGTTGCCTCCCCTGCATCTGACATTAATGATATCACATACTCACCGTCCAATATCGCCAAAAGTCGTAAGCGCATTTCCCAAGCTAAAAAAGATAAAGGAAGGCTACGAGAACGTTTTCATAAAAAATGGAAGGATCAGGAGAGGAAATATAACGTTAATAGAGGATTGGAATATGTTAGTAGAAACGGAAGAGTACATGATAAGAAAATTATGAAATCTTCTTGCCCCGCAACTTGTCGCAAGAAATGCAGTGAGAAATTAACAGAAAATATTCGGCAAAGAATTTTTGATATGTTTTGGAGTATTGGAGACCACTCAAGACAGTGGGATTTTTTGGCAAGGTATGCTGTAAAAGCTGAAAAAAAAAGATATACTGTGGATAAAGAAAATTCAAAACGTCTTCACACTATTTCTTATTACCTTCCAAACAGTCAAGGAGATAATGTTGAGACTACAAAAATATCAGTTTGCAAAACTATGTTCTTGAGAACCCTTTCTATTAGTTTTAATTTTGTTTATACAGCATTAGAAAAGTCCGATAAAGGAAATGGATTTATTAAAAGAGATCAGCGTGGTAGACATATTAATCATCCAAAGATTATCAATGACGATATCGTTCGCAGTGTTATAGATCACGTGGAAGCATTTTCTCCTGTAGAGTCACATTATACTCGCGAAAAATCCAGTAAAAAATATCTGGAGGGCTCTTTATCCTTCCCAAAAATGTTTAAGTTATATAACGAATGGTTTGATTCTAATAAATACTCTTCTAAAGCGACTACCGTGAGACAATACCGAGATATAATTAATAAAAATATCAATATCGGTTTTCATAAACCCAAAAAAGATGTTTGTGAACAATGTCACATATATGAAAATAATAAGCATGTTACACAGACAGTTAAAGAAAATCATGAAGAGCATTTAAAAGAAAAAGAAAAAGCTAGAGAAATGAAAACAAAAGATAAAGAATCAGCGGTACAAAATAATGAAATCCTTACTGCAGCGTTTGATCTTCAAAAGTGTCTTAATGTACCTCACGGGAATGTTAGTACTTTTTATTATAAACGAAAGCTTTCTTTATATAATTTCACTATATTCAGTCTGGGATCTCGCCAAGGTTATTGTTTTTCATGGCATCAACAAACAGCTAAGAGAGGTGCAAATGAAATTTCCAGCTGTGTTTTTAAATTTATAGAAGATACGGTGGGTGAAGGTGTCAAAGACTACCGGTTTTGGTCAGACAACTGTGGAGGACAAAATAGAAATAGGATTGTTTTCTTGATGTATATGATAGCTAGTTCGAAATTTAGCATAGATATTAGCCATCGCTTTCTAATAGTGGGTCACACTCAAAATGAAGGCGACAGTATGCACGCTTTAATTGAGAGACAGACAAAAGATAAAATGCTTTATACGCCTGATCAATGGTATACCGCTTTTAGATTTGCCAAATCCGATGAAAAGCCATACAAAGTTATCGAAGTGTCTCAGGATTTAATAAAGGACTTCAAATCAAAGTTGAGACTTATAAACAACTGGACAACTACTAATGATGGATCTAAAATGCCTTGGAACAGAGTCACGGAAGTAGTAGTTAAAGCAGAAAATCCATTTAGGGTATTTTATAAAACGACTTACCAAGATGATGCCTACAAGTGGATAGATTGTGTAAAGCAACCTAAAGCTACACGAAATCGAAGAGAGTCAAATATTAATATAGATAATATTTCTTTAGCTTATCAGACACCCATTCCTATTGACAAAAATAAGTACAAAGACTTGATGGATCTTTGTAAGAAGCTGGTGATTCCTAAGGAGTATCATTTGTTTTTTAATAATTTGATTCCAAATAACTCTAATAGAGCAGATGAAAGTGATTCAGATTGATTTTTGATTCGTTAAACTTTTAATATTTTTGTTATTTTGATAAACCTTATAGCTATTTTTGTAGCGTTAGAATTTCCTAGACTTTAAAATTTATATTTGTATTCTTTTTATTAATAATGTTTTACGTAAGTTACCATTTTTAGTTCCTATTATTTTTATTGATGTTTGTTACTTTTTAAGAAACTGTAATGATACTACATTGAAAATTTGTTTAGTAGAATTGTTCAACTTGTAGCATTTAATAATGTTAACAAAAAGGGGTCCTACTTAATTATAACGATATTAATTATAATAACATTGTGATTTTTTAAAATGCGTTGTTTTTGTTAATGAGTCTACTTCTTCCTAACCTTTATTAATTTCGTAAGTTATTAGAAATAAAATAAGTAATTAAAAAGCCTCGATAAATTATATTAGTCCAGTATACGTTGAGGTTTCAAATACTAACATAGCTAAGTATTTTCCTAGTATAATGAGTCAAGTGTGGCTATTTCAACATTTTATTATTGAGTGAGACAAAAAATCCCGAAAATAACCAAAATTTAGATGATATTAATAAAATGATAATCATATTTCTTAATATTTATGTGTAAACCATGGATTTTGATGTACAACGTACATGAATATAACTGGTAGTTAAACCATTTTACTATTGAGTTCCGCCCGTGTATAATGAGTCATGTACATAAAATATCATTTAAAAACAAAATTCAGCAAAATCATGTTACTAAAGGAAGACCTTTCAATCTTTATTAAAAAAACATTTAATTTATTCCGAATTAGTTTGATTTCATTAAAATATAAACAATTTGCCTTAAAATGGCTCTCCTATAAAATTACTAAAATGTCAGTTGACTCAGTATACTTAGGAGGTATCGATATGACGGTATATTTTATTGCTAATCTTTGCGCCGCTTGTGTTGCCATAACTTATTATAATATATTTAAAACAAACTTTAATTTCCTACTAAATTGAAATCCAATGAATGATTAATACTATACAGTAAGAAACAAAAAAAATAAATATTTTATTACTTACCTAATATATAAAATTCTCGTGTCGCGGTGTTTGTGGTTAAACTCCTCCAAAACGGCTCGACCGATTCTCATGAAATTTTGTGTGCATATTGGGTATGTCTGAGAATCGAACAACATCTATTTTTCATCCCCCTAAATATTAAGGGTAGTCCACCCCTAAATATTTTTATTTTTAGATATTTTTTTATGATACAGCATTATAAAATACATACAACCCCTAACTTTCACCCCTCTACGCTCAACCCCTATTTTTTTATTATAAATGATATACATGTACATGGCAAAACGACGTTTGCCCGGTCAGCTAGTAACTTATAATATGACTAATCGAACGGGGTTCCTACTAAATCGGTCACTTATAATTATTAGTATAATTTAAAAGATTTAGATTTTCTGTGAAATGAAACAAATGAAAATATTTCGAACCTAATTATGATTAATAATAATATGATTTTGAGTTAATAATAATATTATTTTCTTAGACAATTTATTTATTAAGGGATTCCTACTAAATCTAAAAATCTAAATCTTTTAAATTATATATTACCGATTTAGTAGGAACCCCGTTTGATTAGTCATATTATGAGTAATACGGAACAAAATATTAAAAAAGACGTTTTCTTAAATCAAGTTAGAGATTTAGTAGAAACCCCCTTCACAGGTAAAGGTAAGGGATCTTATTATATTCATATGATTTGGATACTTTTCTAGTTTTCTCTTACAGAACTGGTGAGAGGACTGGCGTAGCCACTTCTCCAGTAATACAGTAAAAATCTGTTATAACGACATCGAAGGGACTACACATATTTGGTCGTAAAAATCATATAGTTGATAGTCGTAACAGCCGATGACGTTTTTATTAAGTACCTAATACAATAGAATTCAGCCGGGACCTTTGATTTTAGTCAATATAACCCGTATGTTGTTCTAAGCGATGTCGTCGTATAGTCTCAAGCTAGTGGGGGCACTCCCTACGCTTTTGTTACTATGAAGGTATTTATGTGTGGTTAAATTTCAGTGTCATTCATACAGTCACGGCGTGGAAGTCGACTTCTGTCTCTGGGTGGGTACACATTTTGCGTGCACGTGCGTTATGCAAATTCACAAAAAATTCGATGGAGATGTTCCACGAATAGGATCTGCAGGGCATTTGTTCACACAATCGACGATCAACTTGTAAAAATAAACAATTATCATGTACATTAGAATGCATATGATTAATCACGTTAACTTGATAAGCAGTGCTAGAACTGATGATACTGTAAAACTATCGGTAAGAGAGTCAGGAGAACGAAAAGTCTATCTGAATCTTACCCGTTGATGTCATCTACCGGCTACCAAATTTCGATGTAGTTTTTTCTATATCCGGGATGATATCTCAAACTAAGCATTGGGGAAAATGTTTTTAATATTGAAATTCGAGACTGATAATCTTGCGTCAAAGTTACCTTTGATTATATTTGATATGATGAAATAAATATTATATCGAAAAGTGAATTCTGTTTTATTGTAACCAAAAATAATAGCCAGTTCTATTAATTCGTTGGAGTGAGAGAATGGTAGCCCGACGCTGAGAGGATGACATCACTGCCGTCGCCGGGGTCACCTGGCCGCGCCTGGCCCACGACAGACACCAGAACCAGATGGAGGAGGCCTATGTCCAACAGTGGACAAACTAAAACCTTTCAAGCATATGATAGTTCCTAAACGTTACGGTGTATTTTACCTTACGTAATAAGTCTATTTTTTTATTTCAAAATCAATGAAACTTTTATGCTATTATTAAGTTTGAAATAAAGGCTATTATTATTAATTCGTTGCTATGGTTACCGTGGAAGAATAGCACACAATCCGATCTTTAATACAATTATATTAAGATCTCTTTAAACTCTTTTGACATTTCAATTTATAATTGCTATATTGTATAAATTTCAGCATACTTTAAACAATCGAAACGTGGCAATCGTCAACTCTGCGTTGGAGAGTATACTTTTTACTTGAAAAGTTACAGTGGCATGAAAGCCTTGTGGAGATGTTCTACCAAGAGGAAATGTCGAGCCTCCATTCACACTGTGGACGATGAAATCGTCAAAATAAATAATTCGCATTCACATTAATATGTGGTTGGCTTCTGGATACTGATATATCATATAAATAGATTTGTATATTTTATCTATGTAAGGTATTAATTTAAAAACTTAACTGATTTCAATTCTTTCAACGTGATTCACTCTATCCACGCCTATAAATACATATTGTATATTTTAAAAATCCAGTGCGTAGCCGGAACAGGATATTAGTCATACAGCTACGGTTGTTAAGTGAATCGTTATCACGTAAAGTTGCTAGGATTCATTTTTATTTTAAGTAACCTATTATTTTAGAAGAAATGACTTATTTTCTGTCGTTCACACTATTAAGGACTGACTTAATTAAATCGTCATTATTTTAAATTACGTTCATTTAAAACAAAAGACAACCCCACTTTGTTTCTCTTAGATTAGTCTCGTATAAAATTACAATCAAAGGAAATGCGTTATCGTCTTTTGTTTTGTCTCTTTACGTTCTTTCCCTTGCGTATTTGCTACCATAAGCAAGGCTGCTACATAAGTATTGGTGATAGCAGAGTCTTACAACAAAGAAATAAATAATTAAACTAACTTGCCTAGAGTGAAACTAATTTAGGTTCAGATCATATAAATGCCTTATTGTTAATGGCGTATAAATTTAAGGCTTTTGACTAAGATAGGTTTATTTATACAGAAATCAGACACCAATTATTGCAGCTGAATTCGGGCTGTTTATAATAGAATACTCCCAAAAGAGTTATATATTGCTCCTTTATTATGCTTAATTTATAATGGTATATCGTAAAATAAATTTAAGACCTCTTAAGGGCCAAAGGTGTCTTAACCGGGGAATCTATTATAACATCAATGTTAACATTACGATAGTTTCATTAAGTAATAGCTGCGCCCGCGAACTTCTTTTCGCCTTAATATGTTTAATATTTTTTTACTTAGATTACGTTTTTAATAGCTACGTACCAACATAATTTACGTACCAATTATGGACCATTTTGCTATGCATAGACTGTTAGTTTTTTCGGAATAAACACGTCAGTACTAAATAAAACTAATTTTTATATGTTTTTAATTTTTCTCTCTATAAAAACCTTCCTCAGAGTTTAAGGAATAAATAAAATTAAAGAATTACTTTAATATGTCCAGACGTCTCTGAGTTTTGCACTTAGAAACATATTTTGCGATTCAATTTTATTTATATAGATTTGTCCTTTTTGTATCGAACGTGTTGATTTATCTACAAGAATTCGAACAACGCATTTTCGTGATACCGTTTAGTTTAAAGCTTATGACCGGTTTTCTAGACAAATAGTTATATGTATTTTGGATCTATTGTCGGTGACAGTGACGTCTCCGCATACACAGTACGCCATGTGTGAGTGGATGGTAACTGTTTGATCGTAAGGGTGAGATTCGGTAACGAGATTTGGCCCAAAAGTCTTGACTCTCGTTCATTAAAAAAAATTATTGGTTTTTAACATACTGAATCTTGAATTGATGAATGAATGATGAAATTTTCATATAAATCACAAGCGCGATCAGTCTATATTTCTTGAACTTACCTAACATGTGTTTAATTTATCAAATATTAATTTCACGTTTACTTTCAGTTATTCTCGTCCAAACGAAACAGGGATGGGCGCTCATGGCGGCTGGGTATCGTTTTATAAAACGGAGTTACGTATCGAAAAACACGAATAAATTCAGATGGCGCTGCTCGATGTCGAACTCGTTTAAATGTAAGGCGAATATTCACACAATAGGCGACAGAATTGTTCTATTCAAAAATTTGCATAATCATAACCCACGCGTTGTGCGTAGTGTTCAAGGTATATTACTTAGATTCGACTGTGAGCCATTAGAAGTATAACATTTCAAAGAGTTGCCTTTAAAATATTTAAACGGTTTCGTTAATGCCTCTGATGATATAGTAACTGCTGTACTCAGAGCGATCTGTATAGATTTATGATAATGTAATTATTGACATACTTTTGTTTATTAAAGATCTGTTTCGTATTCTGATATAAGTAACTAAATCTTTACTGAGTGGCTTATTTATTAACGATTGATTAACAACTCTGAGTACGACTAGACCTTAAACGTAAGTCTAACTTGCATCTAACATTAAGGTCCTACGAATTTTATTTATGAAGTATGGTAGTGTCAAGATTTGATACAGGTGTCTGAAATCAAATTATATTTGTATATTTTAAGGAAATATAATAGAATTTAATATACGGGCCAGCTTTTAGGTCCCCTTATTTTAACTGTTGTATCTTAATTAAACTGTTAAGAGCGTGTTCTTGTTAATAACGCCTTGTTTCTATTTCTATAGAAGAGGGAGACTACTCTATAGAACGTAAAGTTTTCTATGGAAAACGGAAAAGATTTTTAGTCTTCACTATCTGAGGGTTGTCAGCTGTCGCATTAGGTTTCGCTAAGACATATTTGATATAGAAACTGGGTGTTAGTGTTTTTCTGTTTGTACTTAAGATTACAAAATCAATTTAAAAGGAAAAATGTTGCCAAATATTATATTTTAAGTGAATTATTTCGTGGTTTGTAAAACAATTATTGTAATTAATTATTTTGTTTGTTTTTATAGTTAATAAGATTGTTAGTGTTATTTGTGATGTCTTTTATGAAGTATTTAGGTCCAACAATCTCCTGCCTGTAGTCCATACTATGATGAAGCCAGATTACCGACGAGTCCCGGTAGAATGTAACAGCGACCTCGAAGGCATGGTGGTTATGGAATTCTCCTAAGTGGAAGTGGAAGGAGTATATATAAATCATATATCCTCTCAATTATATATAAATTATTGTTTTTCTTTCTTTATGTAACTCTACGATTTTTATCGTACTTCTTTATTAAATGTCATAGCATAATGTTGTTGTTATTCATATGTTTTCGGAAATACATTTTTAACGAATTTTAACGTGTTTAATTTAAACTTTCCCGTCGTAGTACTGCATGGTCTCAGAGTAACAGCTTTCTTGCATGGTCGGCAAAGTGCGTCAACAAGAGATTAATATAAGATATTCTTTCAGGTGAAATGCCGATATTCGGGACGTCCCAAGACGGCACCAAGGTGATTTTGTTTTCGGGTTTCCGCTACTATCAACACTTATTTGGGCAGGCGAGGGATTCCAAGAAAAGAAAATGGCGGTGTATTGTCCACGGCTGTAAAGGATCTTTGATAACATTTGATGACACCATTGTTAAAATTAACTCTAATCATAGCCATTCGCCGGATAATCATTAGGAGGGGATAATCAAGCAAAATTTTTAAACCTAAATAATTCAATTTTTTTTTATATTTAAGTAGTTGATTATGATTAAGATAAGGGTGAAAGTGAAGCCCATTATTGTATACGTAAATCTTTTTTTATTATTGATGATTTTTAAACGTTTTGGTTGATTTTGGGAACCCACTATGATAGTGCAAGAGGCGCGTCTCTTATCTCAGAAACAATAACAGTGTTGTAATAGTCTAGGTGACCTAATGGGTATTAAATCATGTCTAATGTTGGATTATTTAGATTTCTAAAAACAGTGTACCTATGAAAATTAATGCCTGATTAGTAACTATTTAAATAATTTTAGTAATGAATATTGATTTTGTTTACATGGGATACTTACTTATTTACATAAGTCGAAGTATCATTGGCCACGATTGCTGAAAAGCACTCGTACCGTCGAATATAATGTGGGCTTTAATGCCTAAAATAAGTTTTATGTAAGCCTTAATTAATACAGCTTTTATATTAAAATTAGGTGTCTTGGTAATTTTATTTTTAAAATAAATATTGTAACTAACCTGAAATTGGTCTAATGTATTCGTTACAAACATAAGAATCTTTCTTATTTACAAAATTATTATAGAAAAAAGCTCTGTCTACATGTTACGAGTTTGAAAAAGTACAAGGGTTTGTAATGGTAGTATTGCATACTTTTTTTTATAGAACAGGGGGCAAACGGGCAGGAGGCTCACCTTATGTTAAGTGATACCGCCGCACATGGACACTCTTAATGCCAGAAGGCTCGCGAGTGCGTTGTCGGCCTTTTAAGAATTGGTACGCTGTTTTCTTGAAGGACCCTGAGTCGAACTTAACTAACTTAACTTAACTTGTTTAGGTATGGGTGTTTAATACTTTGTCAAACACAAGGTATTGCTAGTAATGTATTATTTCAACGCAATATGACAGAGATAAGTTATTTTTAATAGTATTATAAGTAGGTGCTGGTACACTGTAACTCCCAATCGTGATGCCGACTGATTTTTTGTGCCGCGCTCTGCGACGACAAAAACTTCAGTATCGGTATTTCTTTTATATCCGTATTGGTAGTTATAGAGACCGCCGCCAGTAGTTTTTAGGTAGCTAAGGAACTAAGTATAATTGATAAACATTTATATAGGAAGTTTTTACATATCTAGATTTTATTATGATGGCTGGGTTTTGTTAAATATGAATCGTAATTGCTACGAAACGTTATTTTTATACAAATTCGAACGATCGTTGCAGCTTCAATTATCAAGCGTTAAAACTTTATAGCCTACAAATTTTTAGATAAATGTAATGTGTGCGTGTGTATTTGTGTTTAATGAAACTTATGCGTAATTTTAATATAGATTTTAATCATTCATATTTTTACTTACAAGATTTTTTAACTTATTTTTTATGCTTTGTACTTCTAGCATTCCGCAAAAAAATTATTTGAATGTTTTCTTAACTTGCTAATAATGTATGAGCAATAATAGTAAAATATCAAATATAAGGTATGTTTTTTTTCTTCTCGGGTATAAATGTCGAAGTTGGCTCAATCCTTCGTGAAAAAACGCACTTTCGTATTTTTGCTGCCCCTGTTGCCAAATTGGTACCACACGACGTCCTTTTAGCGATGCTTAAATGTGTCTGCTGTATCGGTCAGTCGGTATTCTGAGATACTGAGAGAGTTAATAAACTTTTTTTTTGGAACAAATTTGCATGTTTATTTTCTTGAAAATAATATGACCCAATCTGAGACGGTTTTATAAAGATACTAACTAATCTATTTGTTTTAGATGGACCATTTATAGCACATTCAAAGCGTGGGAACCCAATACTAGTTCTTAAAGGCTACAGGTACTCTCTCAAAGTGACGAAGCGCTTCGATAAGACGGTTATCAGGAGATGGCAATGCTCCACCCACACAAACCGGGGATGCCTGGCCACCATCATAACTCATGACCAGCATATCGTTAAGATGAAAAATGAGCACAACCACGTGCAAAGTAATGTAAGAAATGTTAAACTTAACATGGCTGAAATGCTTCTTGGGTTTTATTGATAGGAGTTGCACGAATAGATGGAGATGAAAATGCATTGTGTGATTAAACAATCATACTTGCATATAATAGAAATGTGAGCCAAAATTACGTCAATAAAAGGAAAATAACCTTGCAACCTTTTTTCTATTTAAAAGTATTGTTGCCTTTTTGAACTTAAAATCTATGCTACGAGTTTAGTAGGAGCGGTTGTCTACTGTGGTTTCTACATGAGAATTTATGAATATATTCCCAGTGTTATTGGAAATGTCTTCATTGATTAAATTTATAAAAAAATCATCTAAGTAAGGACAGATAACTTTGCGTATAATGCTTGCCAAAAAGTGTATTAGGAAGTTAGAAAGTTAATAAATTTTTTAATGGCGCGTAAATTCTTTACCCTTTTACCGATAAACGCCTCTCAAAGAGATATATTACATAATGTTTTTTAAAGGTCGAAGTGCACTGTGAAATTAATGGCACACACATTTCATTAAATTAAAATTACCTGAATTTTATTTTCATTTTTTTTTAATCTACTGTCGCTTATTTATTTATGAGTGTCAGTTGAAAAATTTGTGTTCGCTAATTGAGAGCCTATACGATACTTATAAATAAATAGTTAAGCACTCTTTATCGGTAATGGGGTACTGTTTCGAGGTGTCTAGGTGTTAAATGTATAAGCTTGTAGTTGTTAAGTGGAGTTGAGTGGAGTAGAAATTGTGCGTCTCTATCATGTTGATATGCTATTTTTAACTTAAATGTTGATCTCAAAGTAAACTTTCTCATAATCGGAAAATGTATATATAACCAGTTATACTTTGTATAATAGATAAATATGTTTCTACAGTCGCGATGTATTACAACACAAATATATAATATTGTGTTTGATATTCGGGAGTATTTTAAATAAAATTATTTAACGGATATAAAGCAATCAAGGCAGGTCTTATATCAGTAACATACATAGTTGTCTTATATATTAAGGACAAATATAGCACTACTAACACCACACTAATTAACTAAGTGGCCACAAGTTTAATTTCAGCAACTAATAAAACCTTACAAAATAGGCAATTTTCCGAGTTTTTCAAATTTCAAAGAAACCTTTTATTGCTACTCTTAAAAAATTAATTTGATATTTTAGTTAGGTGTTAAACAGTTCGCGTTTATATCCGTTAATAAACGAATGTATTTATATTACTTTAAATTTAATTCTTAATTTTAATACTGAAACTGCTGCTTTTTTAGATGTAAATAATTTATTTTATCATTAAACAAGATCTAAAAGTTATTTTAATTAAAATGGTTTATCACCTTTTCGATACTAATGTACAGTTAAATATTTTTATAATTTTATTATATTTTATTATTTGTGTTACATATTATTGTATGTAATTAGGTCTAACCTAAATATATAGTAGATTTGATTAAAATGAAGTCCTAAAACTAACCTGGTTTTATTTCACGTATCTTGTTACGAGTTCTACACTATTTTTATGTCTTACTAGAATTCCCGATGAACTTCGTATCACGTATGTATATTTTAGTTAAATGCGCACATAGAAAGAAAGTCCATTGGTGCACAGCCGGGGCTCGAACTTACCACCTCAGGTATGAGAGTCGCACGCTGAAGCCACTAGGCCAACACTGCTCTAGCAACTGTCGTTTATAGAAGCAAATAGCAAATATATCGTTTCAAACTTACGGCGCTGTTACATTATCTTCATCAATTGTCATCAATTGTCATCAATACGACACATTGCTCAAATTACAAGTTCCTTTTCAGGACACATCATTTTCGAGACGACAACTTCAAGAGGCACGTCGGCCTTATCCATAGATGGCTTCGAATATGTACAACAATACAAGAATAACGTCGCAGGTGTTATAAAGATACGATGGCAATGCACTAAACGCAGTTTGGGATGTAAAGCTAGTGTACATACTGTAGATGGTAAAATAATTTCTATAAAATTTATTCATAATCATTAAAGTTTTAATAAAATTTATTTCTCCGTAAGGTTACACGTAAGGTATTTTTAAATGAGAGAGTTATCATTTTGTGTGTGATTTTTTGGATTTGGATAATAAATATATAATATATATAATAAATTTCGTTTCATATAATATAAGAGCTGTATTGGCCTAGTGGTATCAGCGTGCGACTCTTATACGGCCTACGGCCTACGTTCAAACCTCGGGAAAATAAACGCACTTAACACTCGGTGAAGGAAAACATGAGAAATCCGGCTCATTTTAACCCACATTAGAAAAAACAAACGATCACAACATATACAGAAATTTGGGGTCAAAACTAAAAAATATATCGCCACTGGTTTGGTTTATGTTTGCATATTCGTATGATCCAAGAATTCCTCGGTCTATAAGTCACAACAAGATATTTTCATTCATTAATGTTTCATCTTAGGGAACAGTCTCACAGGGTCAATAGTAGCGCAGCACTATGCACTTGTTGGTTTAGCTTAACGACGGACTATCTCTGAATGTAGAACATAATTATGTGTGTTTGGGTCTTGTTACATATACTTTATAGCTATTTGCGGCCTAGGTCGAGGAGGTGCAAGACCGACACAAGGTTATTTAAATTACGTAAGGTTTAAATACAGTCAATTTCATAAGCTACCATTGTTTGCCGCAGTTACATTGTTAAAAAAGATCGCATACAACTAAGGAAGGATTTGTCTAGGAAATCCACGCATTATCTCCTTGCTTTATATTGTGCTTGCTTCAGCGTTTATCAAATTGAAACGCTATCACGAGTGTGTAACATTGAAAAAAAAAATCTTGGTATTTCCTCGGTTTGTATGAAAAAGCTGTCAGCTTCTTATTTATTTATTTTTTATTTTATTGTAGTAATAAGCTTTAGCTTCCAACTCTTCTGGTAATTGAAAAGAAATATTGTCAAACTCATGGTACACTCAACTATCAGGTATCACTCACTTTCATTGTATATTAAATTACAGATATGAACCAATTTAATTAAATAATTGCAAATTGCTCTTTGTTCATAGTTGTTAAAACTGGATTATTGCAGTTTATGTAAAAGTTTAGTGAAGGATTAAAATACATATATTGTTTCAGAGACGGCTTATTATTTCGCATCAAAACGTGGAAATGTTCAATTACGCTATAAAGGCTATACATATTCCATCAGGAAAACGGAACAGGATAAAAATGAAAGTCTACCCAAGAGATGGTATTGTTCAAGTCATCATTCGAAAGGATGCAAAGGTGCCGTATACACTTTAAATAATGATATTCTACAAGAGAGATATGCTCATATACACGATAAAACAAATTAAGATTAATGTATGTTTAATTAAATGGAAAATTGTTCTTATGAAGTTTTTATTTATTCTTATAAACCAAACACCCTTAAGCTCTGATTCAAAACGAGAAACGAAGTATAATTTCGAAATGTTGAAAACCAATACTTAAGTTGAAACTAGTTTAATTAAATGGAAGAATATTGAACTCAAATCAGTCTTTTTTTTTTGAAGTGAAACTTCTTTATCGAGGTTGGAAAAAAATTTAGTGTAACATTTTTTCGTTACGCGTCACATTTTTCGGTTACGTGCCATGTTGCTTTTTGAAGTCAAACTTCTTTATCGGCGTTGGAATGAAACTTCTTTATCGACGTATGGGAGAAATTTTGTAGCAAATCGTCACGTTTTTCAATGATAGTAATAATTCTATTACAATTAATGAAATTCTATAATAATCTTCGTAGTAATAAGGTAAAATGAAATATTTGTATTCATGTCTATGATAATAAAAGCCTTTTGTTAAACTTTATCTAATTTAACGAATTTCTGTAAAGTTGCATATAGTAGATCATTTTTCGAAAAATAAGATCATAAAAAAGTTTCACTTCTTACGTGTGTACACCTAGTACACGCACAATTTATTTAAATAATGCATTGATCTGCCTCTTGTCACAAATCACAGTTTGACAAGTATAGTGAAACAATATAGCGTCTTTGGTTTGTACGAGTTCTATACGTTTGTATACATTTAATATATAATATGAACTTTACGTAGAGTACGTTACAAGGTTTATGAGAAGTGTAACTTATTAAAACAGTAATTTACTTTTAGTTTTTATGATCGACAAGTTTTTACCGCCCTAGAAAATGTTATAGATAATGTTATGAATGTTTATATGTATAATTATTTTTAAGACTTTTTTCGCTGACCTTTTGCAAGTCTAAATTATAAGTTTTCATTGACAATACGTCTTGTTACAGTTGAATACATACGATCAATTCGGGGTAAACCGTTAATCAAACATGAAGATTATACATATCATCTTACTTCGGAGGTCGGTTTGAAAGCAAGATGGCGTTGTTCAACACACAACAATAGAGGCTGCAATGCAACAATTGTTATGGTCAACGGACTGATTGTATCAAGGACTGGTCCCCACACTCATTTACCTTCAAATCAGAGCAAACAACTTTAGACTAATTAGATCGACCTACCTCTCTTATTCATAAGCTGATGCCCAATGTTTTGCCCCTATCACTCTTGTGTGTGACAAATGTGACAAAACATTATTTTACTAATTGAGGCTTTAAATATGTTTATGGATAAGACTTTAATGATACGATTATTTATGTACTATAAAGCGATTTATTTAGCAAGTACTTAGTGTAATTTGTAATATTATAGAAAATATTGGTAATTTATAAGGCGTGGTAATCTTAGTTTGATACAGATGGAACCTAGCGTTGTTTAAAATATACTTTTAAGTTATTGGAGTTTATATAACTCTGTATATGAGATACACTAGAACACTGTTAGTAGTGTTAGCCCAAAGGTCGTAGGTTTGATCCCCGGAGGTGCACCAATGGACTTTATGTCTATGTGCGCATTTAATACTCGCTCGTACGTGAAGGAAAGCATCGTCAGGAAACCGGCATGCCTTAGACCACAAAAAGTACGGCGTGTCCATTCCAAAGGATCAGGAAACACATATAGAAATCTGAGGCCCAGACCTAGAAAGTTGTAGCGCCACTGGTTTATTTTGGAATATAAGATACAATTCGTAATCTATGTAGTGAAAACGTCACTAGCTTTCATGTTATTTTTAATGGTTTGGGTGTTGTACGGTTTCACGGCGAAACTAGTATTAGTCATGTTTATTTAGTCAATTTCAAATTATTGACAGTTAATTAAATTTAACCTAAATTATATATTAATTCTATAGTTTAAAATAAAACTGACAGTTCTTTTATTATAAAAATCCTCTCCACAAAAGGTGTGGTAAATAGTCAGGTTAAAATTTATTTATGTACGAGTATGTCAGGATGTATATCGTGTTTTAGGTTAGTATAAAACAATTAAAGCATTTAAAATTTTCTGTTTATATCATTTAATACATAAATAACCTTTTCTTTTGCAGTCCAGCAAAAGCATGCTCCTATTTCCCTTTTGGTCTCGAAGCTTAATTATAAAGAAAGTGACACTTTGTCGACGAGTGCTACCTATTTGTGTTATGGAGGTTTAAAATGTCCTGTGATTTAAAAAAGTATTTATGGAAGATATATTACAAGAAGTATTTTCCATTTTTGATAGTTAAATAATTCTTTTATCATATTTTGTTAATATTTGGCGTATTAAATATTTATAATAGAGAAAGTGGATGGTAAGCGGAAAAGAAAAGTGGAGCAACAAAGTATTCATCTAGGGTCCTGGTATTCAATAAATGGAAAAAGTCAATTTAGAAGGTGGATAGACCAGATTAAGGCAACATCCAGTACATCCGAAATGGCGGGATTTAGATGCCTTCGCCAAAAAAGACACACAGATACCTAGGAATTAATAGATGATAGAGTAATAAATGTAAAGTATCTGAAATAACGAGCTTTTATTGTTATTAGAGTAAGTAGAAATTAACATGTAAGGGCAATTAATAACATAATAAAAAGGTAATACTAAATGTAAATCACTTAGTACTAAAGTATAAAATATGTATAATAATTAAAAAATATATTATTACACTGCGAAGGTCTCACAACCCTTAGGTCGTGTGTTTGAACCCCTGCTGTATATATTTTTAATGTGTTAAGGCTGGTTTACGCCGAGGCAACAACGTGCGACAGTGCCTTGTGGCATGCCACAATGCCGCAAAGTGTTGCCCTGGTGTAATATAGCCTTTAGTAAACCGGCGACAAAGAAAGTACTACTTACCTGTAAGGAAAATGAAAGCTGATAGATATCAAGAGATGAATTAATATAGTATCTCTTGTTTAATTTCAGATCACATTGACTACCATTTTATACCGAGTCGAATCGGGAAGCGGGATCTCATTATGGCGAATGGATTTACGTTCTCCTTTCATGCATTGAATAATTACCGTTGTTCATCAAGTTCGTCCGGATGTAAAGCACGTATTAGACTAAAAGCCAATAATAAAATATCAGTCGCTAAATCAAATTTAAGTCATACACATGAACCACCGAAATATGTAGTCACACGTACTGGGGAGTATTTGAAAATATAATGCAGAGTGTACTGATTTTGATACTCAAATTTAATTCGAAGTTTTTGATGTCCCTATTTAATTACGTTTACGTTTAAATTGCATTTAATGGTTGACAACCCTGTGGTAGTGTTAGCCAATGGTTTATAATTGGTACGTATTTAAAAGTGGTTATAATATGTCTATTTTTACGATTAGATGTTTAAACTGCATCATTGCATTTAGCCCCTGTGGGGTGGGGAGACGGGTGGTGAGAGAATAAGCCAAAAATCGTCAATTTTATACTTTGCTTAAGTTGCTGTGTAATTTTTTTTTTATTTGAGTTAATATTCATAAAATATATTATTGACGGGAAAAGAACTTTTATTATGAATTTTCATGCTTCAGGATCATATTTATTGCAAAATATAATTTAATGTTTGTCTTTATCGTATTGTCTTAATGTGCATAACCCTCTTAAATCATCAAAATAAAAATCTCAATTTTGTGTGCTATTTGGCATACATCCACACTATAGCCGCGAATTTGGTAATTAAAGACCAGCAACGCACTTGTGAGCCTTCTGGCAATGTGAATGTGTTTCCATGGGCGGTATCACTTAACATCAGGTGAGCCTCCTGCCCGTTTGCCTTCTATTACAAAAAAACAAAGTCTCGGTTATAAATTACACTATGTTTATGCTATCATGTCGAATGTGAATAAAATATATAAATATACAAAACTTTATTAAATCACTAGCTGACCCGGCAAACGTTGTTTTGCCGTGTTATTTCTAGGAAACAGTTTTTTAGTTCAATAAAAATAACTAATGTATTATAACAAAAAATAGGGTTTGATCGTAGAGGGGTGCAAAATTAAGGGTTGTATACATTTTTGTAGGCTGTAACATAAAATTTATATTTTGTCTAAAATATAAAAAAATAAATTACCCCCGTCATATTAAGGGGGATTAAAAATAGATGTTCTCCGCAGACCAATTTGCACACAAAATTTCACGAAAATCGGTCGAGCCATTTCGGAGGAGTTTAATTACAAACACTGTGACACGAGCATTTTATATATTATTATGTTATGAGTAAAATATTCTGTATCAAAATTCCTGCGTTGTGCGCCTAATTCATGGTGTTTCCGGTGAAACAATTGTTCTGGTTGATAAATATAATAAATTAGATGAAAATTCTAGTGATGATCAACTATCTTTTTTTTAGTTTCCTCAAAATACCTAATGGAGAAAATAAAAATTGGTTATGAAAATTATCAGAAGACCACTGATGCATATGGGACGACAAAGAAAGGATTCACAAAGTATCTCTCGACTGTTCCCAAAAAAATGGTTGAAAAATATGTCCGATGTGGCGACTGTACTGTGAAAAAGGATAGGAAAACAAAGCACTGTTGCTTGATATGTGATAAACCGATTTGTATGGAACACGCCATTTTTACTTGTGGCAATTGTACGGATATTAAAGTATAATTTTGGTATAAAATACGTCGTTATCGTCGTCTGCCTAATTGGGATTAGTTGTTGTGAAAGGACTTTTCTACGAAACGCTGAAGCGAAATTTTGTATGAGAATGGTATTAGAAAGGTCTAGGACGAAGTCTTTAAAGCTATTGTATTGGGTCTAAAGAATAGTTTTTGTTTATACTGCTTAACCAAATTAAATTTTAAATATATGGAACAAGTTAAATAGTTAATTACGCATGAAAACGAAAATAACCAAGAATTTCAAATATATTTGAAATTTTATGTAATACAATTTTATTACATTTTAAACTGGTTTTATTTAACGAAATTTTTATTTAAAGTAAATATTATATCTAATTAAAAAATTTTTTTGGTAACAGTTATTGTTGTTGCGAACTGTAGAAACGATTCCCGGTGGAGGTCTTCCCTGAGAGATAGGACCTCCAACTATTCAAAGTTAGAGTGTACCCCTCCCTCAAAGGCCGGCAACGCACCTACTAAAAATGGATGTCCATGGACTGCGATGACTGCCCTTTATGGGCGTCCCGTAGGCTCGTTTACTTTTTATATGATGTTTGCCGAGTAACTAAGTAAGCTTTGAGAGTTGCGGTTCCGCAGTTATGCGATTTATTTTGGTAAACGACAGAAAAACCCATCACGAATACTGCATTTGTAAGTAAAATTATAGAGAGAATTCAAAAAACACCTCTTATTGGTTTTAATTAGTGGTTTTTATATATACCAATGGATGACAAGCGAAATCGACAAAAGTTAATCTTGTTCCTTTTTGGTGAACACCATCGCTAGTCTAAACACACGAGAATTCTTCTTTTGGTTTAATCGTTTCTTTATTCGTTTCACATTCTGAGACATGTATATTTTGTAACGTTAACGACCATCGTAGGCTGAGTGAGAATTGCTCACCTGCTGCTTTCGGGGGTAGGAAAACTGCATTTCCACCTTCCACCAAAAGGCTGACTTAGTAAGCAACAGTTTTTCACGATATTTTAAAATAACCCAGATAAATGTTTTAATGTCTAACGCATAAAATCACATTAAAATATGTTTAACATTTCAGAGAGCATTGGATATGTGAAAATACCGACTCGAGGCGGAAAATTCCTTTTAATGGTGAATGGCTTCACCTACTGGAGAAGTAGTTTGAGAACGTACTATTGCTCCAGAAATTTTTCTGGATGCAAGGCCAGGGTCAAGCTGACAGAGGATGATAGGATATCCATATTTGAGTCCCGCATAGATTACCATGCGCACCCTCCACCCAACTACCTTGTTACGGAATGTGGAAAATACATAAAAAGACGTTATTAAAATACAATCAATGAATGTACTAAATATATTGCATATCTTAGACCTTGTGTTTTATTTTTAAATAGAAAACATTGTTTTTCTAAATTTTGGAGTTTTATTTAATGGACCCAATTATATTTGACGTACTGAATAAAAATGTAGGTGTTTTTTAATTGAAAATAAGTTTTTGGAAGTATAATGG